ACGACCACAATTGTTCCCTTCAATAACAGCATCTACAGGTATTAGTTGCAACACAAAAAGAAATACTTTTGTGTGCTAACCCATGATAAAGATGTCTTAAATTCAAAGGAATAATGAAAAGAGTGAAAAAAAAAATTCATCTACCTGAGTTTCAAAAAAAAGTATATTATATTTACTTTGGTTAGGACGGCGTATATATCTGTCGATAAATATTCTACAATATTTGTTTCTATCTATGGCTATCGCATTCAGCATTCCATCTTGATGGATAGAGTTTGGAAAATATTAGTTTTTGAAAGCTACCTACATGTTAAGGTCAGTTCCTTTTCATGAGAACAGAATTATAAAAAATAGGAAACGTCTGTTGAAATTCGATCTATATTTATTATCTTTATTATCGATGCGATAATATTCATGGGTATAGTTTTTTTTTTACAAAACGTGTCATATCTTTTCTATTTAAAAATGTTTTTAKTTTATTGAAAAATTAGTATTAAATTCTTTATTTCACAAATATTATAATAAATAATTATGAAGTACATAGAAAATATAATGATTGTATTGTCTGAAATATTTAAAAAAGAAAAGGATTACTAGATACATCAGTGAAAAAGAATTAAAGAACACTGTAGGATACACTAGGAGCAGCTGACAAATTCSATTCAAAATCAAGTAAATTACTGYCACAATTTTATATTTTTCTTCTTTATAAAATATATTTGATTCATAAAGATAAAATATGTCTATTAAATTTGATTTTTCTATGTTTTTATAAAAAATATCCAAAGACATGAACTGACCCATGCATATAAAAAAATTACATTATTAATTGTAATATTTGCGTTATAAAGTTATTTACGTTTATTTTTTAATCAAATAAAAACATTTTTAACAGGATGAACGCCCAGCGTGAATTGGTGGAGCTTACAACTGGGCTGAAATTTGAGACTCGTAGTGTGTGTAGTTCGATAAGCTGAGAGAGTGATACGATTCGATGCATTTTTTACATTTTTCGTTGTTCAGATCATTATTTAGACGAGAGTATTTAGAAAGATAAGTTTGTGGTCCAAAGAATAAAGACGAGATATGTTCTAAATAATAAGGGTCTCGAAGTATGGCAGGCTATAGAGTTGAAAAAATATTTCTAGAGAATATCTGTATTAGATCTTTCATTGCATTTTACCAGAACCTTCGTTTATTCCAGCATTATTTTCATATGTTTTTCGTAATGTCTTTATTTCATCTATCTTAAAATGTTTGTTATACAGCGCAAGAATGTAAATGAAAACGGGAAATTGAAAACCATACTAACAAAAAAAATTTTATACCTGATTTTCAAAGAAAAGATTATTTATATTTACTTAATTTCTGACGAATTATATTTCCTTAGATAAACATCCTACGATTTTGTCGTCTATTTATAACTATCGCGCGCATTCAGCATTCCATTTTTATTACTTGAATTTGGAAAAGTGTACTCATTATCAGCTGTTCCACCCAAAGACCATACCGGTGACCTTTCTTGTATATGGTAAAAATATTATAATAAATAAATCCTGCAATTATATTACTCTTGAAACTGTGCATTTTTCTCATTCTCTCAAAACTTAGTTTTTTGAAGGTTTCACTTCTAACACGTGTGATCTGCAAACATGATTTTTTCATATCACTCCCTATTCTAAAGAAATTTTCACTTTAATAAAAAAAAAAAAATGTTAATACATATTATTTTTTGGAAAGTAACCTGCTTCATCGATTGATATTGATGTTAATGTGAATCTAAACTTGTAGATAATTTATTTCCCTAATTTTCTTAATTGCCGTTAAAAGCGCAATTTTATAGTTAATTTGTCTATCCATAAAAAGAATATCAAATAATTGTATCGTATAAATCGTAATAGGTCCATTGTGTTCTTAAATTTTGCTGTTGTAATTATTCTGATATTTTCATGCAGTGGTATCACAATATAATATTGTCGAACTTTTTTGGTCTGTCCAGACGTGGTAATAAATTGAAGATTTTCCAATTTTCATTCTCATTCATTGATGTCTTATAGAAAAGTTTATACGGTTCATTTCAGATAAAACGCATTCAACATATTTTTAACCAATTTCTCAATTTACCGTTAAAATTTTGTACCAATTTAAAAATTGAATTTTATAATAATTTTTTTCATACAAAATTTTCATGTCTCACATTTTATTTACAAGAAAGTATTATCATATTTATATAACATGATACACACAACATAAAGTTGTACAATGACCAGGTGCAATCGGAAAATAATAAATGAAGAATTTAGATAAGCAACTTTCAAAATATAATTTTCATGATTCCGTTGATCGGCAAATTTTCTAGTTACAATATCTTCATGATTTTMAATATATTTGTAGAAAATGGCTTCAAAATGAAAAGATCATGTAAAAATGTACTATTACGGTAGCTAACTCGATGTTCTTGGAAAATGGAGTTAGACCACTTTCCAAACAAGCTTATCCAACATATATATAATAAATAACAAAAATAAATTTGTAGTGTGCCTGTAACGAAAAGAAAAAAAAGGAAAAAAGAAAAACAAATAAATATCTAGGAAGAGACAAAGAAATTTAATACTATGTCAATATTCGAAAAGATCAAAATATCGACGCCTTTTGAGACATTAAGTCCATTAAGAACTGACAAAGCAAGTAAAGTATAACTACYTTTTGTATTATAAAATACCCTTATATTTCTACAGTAGAGCGAGAGGTGAGGTACTCATCAAACCTCTGACATTAATTATTACTATATTTAAGTAATTATTTGTAGAAAAAAAAAAACTAGTATCCAGTTCTTTTCTTTATATTCTATTTTCTGGAAAGGAAAACTCTATGCGAAGATTAAAAGAAAAGATTTAGGAGGGCTATAAAACCATAAAACAAAACTTAAGAATTATTGGGACCTACTGGTGCGATGAAAACCCTTTGTGCAAGTGTCGGGTCCTTTGGATAGTTTCGGATTTCTAAGGAAAAACATGTGACACATAAGGAGRAACAATACTCCATTACTTGAAACGAAGTTCTTTTATGCATGGTCTTTTACTTCGATCTTTACCTAAAAAAACATAAGCTGTACCCATCGGTTGACTATAGGGCGTGTACCCTTTTGCTATTGGTCAAAAGGATTCGTAATCCTCTTCCTTCCCCAAACGGGTGTAGCTCATTTCTGATATAAATATGTGGAAAGAAGTAGGAAAGTGTCCTTAGTGCTCAGTCTGTATCTGACCTTAGTTATTTTTAGTCTGTATCAGCCCTTAGTCAGTCTTTAGTCTTCAGTATCTGTCTGTGTGTTATATCTCTAACTCTTTTTGCATTCTGTATTTCTGTAACCACGCCACTTTGTGTGTAAACTTATGTAAATACCGCTCGACATCACATTATCATAATTTATTAAACTATTTTATATCATCTTCAGTTTATATATTTTTCTCTGTCTGAACCCCCACATATTAAAAAATTAAATAAATTGTTTTTTTTAWTAATTGTAATATTTATTTTTATAATTTTTATTATTATTTATTATATCCGAATTATCAACTAGAGTTTTTATATCGTAAGACTTTTCTCTGATGAGCCAATAAAGTATAACAGATACTTTCTATTAGTTCAATGACGTGTTTTATTTCTTATTTTAATTAACCTTTTATCTTCCTCATCATATCAGCTAATGACAATAACCACAAGACTCAATGTTTGAGGAATTGTCCTGATTCACATTTGTAACATATGTTTGGTTATTGTGTCATGCTAAAAATTTCACAATCATATTTATTCATTAGTCGTAATGTCTTCGTATTGGTCAAAACAACCATAAAAATCGACTATAACAAGATTGGTTTTTGTGATTGCAACCGTCTATTAAAATAACGCAAAAAAAGGGGATCAGAAAATACTTATAATTAAAATTATGTTGTTTTCACATGCATTTTCTGAAGCATGCAATAGCTCGTATGACGACTCGTTACAAGAATGAGGATGGTGGTGAGAATGGAAAAGTATTCTGTTTTTTTTTTTTGCATTTTTTGTTTGTTCCACATTTATTTGTGAAAACTTTGCATATATGTGTAAGATTCGTGAAAAAAAAAACTGGACCGCTGATAACTGACTACTGGACCGGGACTCGAACCAGGATCTTTCACTTTTTGGGCAACTGCTCTTTTATGCATTAAGTTATCCARAGCCCACCGACCAATTCTTCTCAACRAATAATCAATAAGTTTGGCATGGAGGCGCTCGTCCCACATATGTTTCTTTTTATTTACCTTCGCTAGAATACGTGTCCACTGTAATAATAGTTTAACGTGTTTTTACAGCTGTAACTTTCAGAATTTTTAAAAATAACTAAAAAATATATTTTTATATATTCTTTTAATTAMCATTTATAAAATATTATTAAATGTTACTTTACTAGATGGAAAAAAAAGCAACATATCAAATATAGAAAGTGAAAGTTGTTTAAAATGTATTCATTCAAGGTTATCAAGTTGTTATATAAATCGAATTTTTGTTACTTTCAATTTATTTGCAATAATTACTTTTTCAAAAGTTATCGACCTTTGAAGCATTCGATTTTAAAAGGTCAAGGAAAAGTTTAAATGTTGTCGACGTGATAAAGTAGTAGAATATAAATTATTTATTTAATAGAAATATTTAATTAATAAGAATAGCTAACGATAAGTAAAAAAAACTTTTGCTAATATAAATTATTTATTTATTAAATACAAATATTCATTAAATAATAAAGTAACAATTTTTAAATATTGTAAACAAATATACATACCTCAGTTAACMTCAATGATACAAAAATACTTTAAATAAGATTATACAAACAACTTCTATTATTAATATTCACAAACAACTAATATTTTTGAAGATATTCACAGTTATTTTATTTTATTATTATCAATCATCACAGTATGCAATAATTAAAAATACATAAATAAGTTTTACTTGTATCGATATAAACACGTGTTGTGTACTTAGAAATGCCAAAATAAATATCTTGAACTTAGATAGCAATCCACGCTAAACTTAAAGGAGATTTATCGACTAACTTTTTTCTGTTAATTTCATGTCGCTGTGCACGCGCATCGTAAAATTTTGGATCAGGAAATATTACAGCAATATACTTTCACTTGGGTTGTGTGGTAACTTTTCAACAGGTTCATTTAGTTCTTTCACGTTCGTCGTGTATCATTAATCGAGTATGGTTTCAAGTAATATCACTTGTATATCTTCTCTTTTCATGTTTCTTTCCTTTTAAATATTTATGTAGTTATTACTTTGTATTATTTATATTTTTGTTCAGTGTAACAATAATAGATATACTATTCAAATAAGTGAAAGTAGCCTAAAAATTGAATTTTTTTGACAAGTATTCTACATGAATTAAAAAAAATACAACGAATGTACAACAGAACAACATCAAATTGTGAAAATGGCACGTCCAGGGTTCAAATTACTCGCAGGATTGCTTTTTTTTCTTAATTATTGTACAGCAAATCAAATGAGAGAATTGAAGATCCATGCATTGCCTGTTTATGCAATGTTATCAAACGCAGAACTCTTAAACTCAACTCAATGTGGAAAGGAACTTACTGAATTTCGACAAGCCATTGATCAGCAAAAATTATGGAGTTTAAAAGGTATGAGAAAGTACGAAATAATATCTTCTATTAGAGACTTTAATCACTAATTGTAGAAAATAATTATTTATTTAATTATAAACGAGATTTTGGAATGCTTATTTTAGTCGAGCATTGATGTATATATGAGTATGCATGGTTATTTACTTCAAAGGAGGAACAATATTGCAGGGATAGGAATATGAAGGGAAACACTTTTATACACAGCAAATAATAAGTTTAATTTATTTAAAAAGTAATATTACATTAGATATTTATTTAGAAAAAGGCTTTTATAAAACGTGAGAAACTTTGTTCGAAATCTTTTTGGTAAAAACTGAACTAAAATTCTTTAAGAAATTACACTTTTTTGAATGTAATTCCATATTTTTTAAATTTTTGTTATTCTTATTATTATTATTACTAACTGGCATTAGGAACTCGAAAGTTCATTGCCGCAAATACCAAATCCTGCCATTGTTCCCGTCCCTGAACGCGATCCTTCCATTCGCGGTCTTCATATCCTATTTCTTTTAGGYCCCTTTTACTATTATCCTCTCATCTATGTCTCGGGCTACCCAGTGGTCTTTTCCTGTTTGGTATATGGACCAATATTTTATGTGCCGCTCGATCCTTCCCCATGCGAGTTACGTGACCAGCCCATCTTAATCGGCGTAATATTTGTTAACATACACTCAGTTTAATCCTACTGATAAGATATATTTAAAATAGGTATTAGAAAAAATACAATAGTAGCCTCACAATCTTACGAAAACAACTGAGAAAAGCAACTCCACTCTTACAAATTGATAATGACTTGCGACCGATGACGACTTCTATTACAACTGCGACTGTTACGACTGACTACTGACTGCCCTTCGCCTCAATCCGCGTCCCTTTATATTTATCCGCATTGCTTTAGAATTTTTCAAACGTCCGGTCCGATGCAATAAACAAAACATCCATATCGCTCGAGAACCTTCTAGACTCACACAGAATCACACACACAACTTAACAACTTACGAAGAACG